GGATCACAAGTTCAAGGCCAGTGTCAGCAATTTAGCAAGGCCCTAAGCAACTTAGTAAGACCCTGTCTCAAAAGAAAAAAACAACAAAAAACTGGAAATGCAGCTCAGTGGTAAAGCACAGCGGGGTTCAATCCCCAGTCCTAAAAGTAAAAAGAATAATAATAATAAAACTTGAATCTAAAACCACTGTAATTTTTGGTCTACATAATTGGCTTTATAATTGGCAGCCCAAATCAGCTGGGCACAGTGGCACATGCCTGTGATCCCAGCTGCTCTCAAGGCTGAGGCAGGAGGATCACAAGTTCAAGTCCAGCCTAGAAAACTTACTGAGGTCCTCTCTCAAAATAAAAAATAAAAAAGGCTGGGGATGTAGCTCAATGGTAAAGCACCCTTGGCTTCAATCCCAGTAACACACACACACATCACTCCTACCTTAAGACAGGTAGTAGGTTTTTCTCACTAGTTGTCCATGAAAGTAATTTTGCTTTTTTTTGTGTGTGTGTGTGGTGGGGGCAGCATTGAGGATTGAACCCAAGGCCCTGTCCATATCAGGTAAGTGCTCTACCACTATTAATCATCATTTTTATCCCATGCAACCCATGTTGAGGGTAGGGTACTCAATAGAGGCTGGATGTATACCTCAATTGTAGAATGCTGCCTGGTACTTATAAGGCCCTGGGTTCAATTCCCAGCATGCAAAATACATAAATTCTTGGCCAGGTGCAGTGGTGCACGCCTGTAATCCCAGCAGCTTGGGAGGCTGAGACAGGAGGATCACGAGCTCCAAGCCAGCCTCAGCAATAGCAAAGTGCTAACCAACTCAGTGAGACCCTGTCTCTAATAAAATACAAAAATTGAGCTGGAGATGTGGCTCAGTGGTTGAGTGCCCCTGAGTTCAATCCCTGGTACCCTCCCCCCAAAATAAATTCTTGTTGCATAAATGTCTAGTACTTTAAATTGTGATTGGTTATTGAATTGTCTGGACTTGATAGAGTACAAAGAGGAACAGTTCCCCACTCCCGTCAACATTGCCCTCAGTCCTGCTCTGCCACTCAGCCACATATCCAGCCCTTCTTACTTTTTTTTTTAATATTTATTTTTTAGTTGTAGTTGAACACAGCACCTTTAGATATTTATTTTCATGTGGTGCTGAGGATTGAACCCAGGGCCTTCGCGCATGCTAGGCAGGCGCTCTACTGCCGAGCCACAACCCCACCCCCTTTTTACTTTTTGAGATAACGTCTAAGTTGCTTAGGGCCTTGTTTACTTGCAATCCTCCTGCCTCAGCCTCCTAAATCACTGGGATTACAGGCATGTGCCACCACACCTGGCCAACAGTCAATTCTTAAAACTTTCATCTTATTGCCAATTCAAAGCCTCCCGTATCCCCCAGCCCTGGCTGCACCCACAGCACATAGACCTGCAGTGGCAAACAGGGGAGCCTTTGCTCTACTTTCACCCTCCCTCCACCTCCTACCTCTGGCTTCTCCAAAGGTGAAATGGTGGGAGAAAAGAAAGAGGTCAACTTTTATGACTGGGACCCTTAGAGTTCTCTGTGGACCTAAACACTGGTTTTCTCCTCAGGGAGTTTGAGGATCTTTAGGGACCCGTCACCTCACACTGTTTCTCACACCATGATCTCAATGTGTAGTGCATTATCTTGCTGATCTCTTGCACAGCACCCTGAGTTTTTCCCCATAGCATTTATCATTGGGGTCTTCTTGCCCTGTAGGGTCCCCTCTTGGGCGGTGACCATTCAGATAGCTAAGCCTGGGAACATTTCAAGCTATCCTCAGTCCATGGGAAACTCCCACATGCTTACCTGCAGATGCTGGAAACGCAGGAATCCCACAGCACTGACGTTCCCAGTCCTGCTCCAGTCAGCTGCCAGCATGTACATTCTGTGTTCTGTGTTCGTATACCCTCCCCTAATGCCAGTAAATTCATGTCAGGTTCTCTCTCAGTGCTTCACACATACTCTCTGCCAACACTGGGACAAAAATTCTACCACCAGGAAACATCCAGTCAAGGTGTAAGATACCTACCTGTTTCTTGCAGGCATTCCCTGTCTGTATTCTTCTAACTTGGCCTGTGGTCTATGCTCCCGTCCCGAAGAATGAGGGAGGGAGAGTAACAGATCATCGTCTCTCCATGACTCTTCATTTCCTTGTCAATATTTTTAACGGGTCTCACTATATAACCCAGGCGGGTTTTTTTTTTCCCCCCGGTACTGGGGATTGAATCCAGAGGTGCTTTACCACCAAACCACAACCCCAAAGTCCTTTTTATTTTATTTTTTTGGACACAATACCTTTATTTCTTTTGTGGAACTGGGGATTGAACCCAGGGTCTTGTGCATGCAAGGCAAGCACTCTACCAACTGACCTATATCCCCAGCCCACATATCTTTATTTTTTATGTGGTATTGAGGATTGAACCCAGTTTGTCACCCGTGCTAGGCAAGTGCTCTACCACTGAGCCACAATCCCAGTCCTCCTTTTTATTTTGTGAGACTTTGTCTCACTGTTTCTTAGGGCCTTGCTAAATTGCTGAGGCTGGTCTTGAACTTGCAATCTTCCTGCCTCTGTCTCCTAAATCACTGGGATTATGGGCATTTGCTGCCATGCCCTATGTCCAGGTTGTTCTTTTCTTAGATCCAAAGGATCCATCTGACTCAGCCTCCCAAGTAGTAAGGATTACAGGCATGTGCCACCATGCTTGGACTTTTTGTCAAATTTCTAATCTTGCTGCGAGTGATGGTCCACTCCATTGCAAGGTTGTTTTTTTTTGTTTTGTTTTGTTTTTTTGGTCAATGGACCTATTTTATTTATTTTTATGCAGTGCTGAGGATTGAACCCAGTGCCTCACACATGCTCAGCACTCTACCACTGAGCCCTACAGCCCCAGCCCCCATTGCAAGTTTAAGGCCAGCCAGGACAACTTAACGAAATCCTGTTTCAGAGTAAAAAAGGCTGGGATGTATGCAGCTCAGTAGTGGAGCCTTGTCTGGCACATGCAAGGCCCTGGGTTCAATCCCCAATACTGAAAAAAAAAATTGACCTTATGTAGGCTGAGGATGATAAGAGGCCACAAATCTTTAGCTGTGCTCACTTGGGTGTTCAATGAAGCCTATCAACGTAAACAACAGGAAAAATCTCCTTTGACCTTCGGTTACACATACACCACCACGTTTAATTTTCACAACCACTTGCTGAGACAGAGAAATAAGGTAATGGAGACCTAAGGAAATAGGAGCTTCTGGTTGACTGACCACACACATTTCTCTCTGCTCCCCTGAGAAACCACACCAAAATGAGAGTACAAAATCACAGGGAGAGAGACTAAAACAAATGAGATTTAATTTGAAAACCAGGAAACCAGAATATGAGGTAACTGACATAAGTTCGAAGATTTTCCATTCTACCCAAGAGGTGAGGAGTAGAGTCAAAAACGAACAAAATAATCAGACTTGAAACCTATAAAGACTCAAAACATTAACAGTCCTTATGTGTTCTGAAACGGACACAGTGGTACATGCCTGTAATTCTAGCTACTCCAGTGGCTGAGGCAGGAGGACTGTAAGTTCAAGGCCAGCCTCAGCAACTTAGGGAGGCCTTAAGCAACTTAGTGAGATCCAGTCTCAAAATAATAAATAAAAAGGGCTGGAGATGTAGCTTAATGGTAAAGTGCCACTGGATTCAACCCCTAGTCCTCCCCACAAAAATGTGATTGGGAGAAAGGGTGGTTGAGGGGATAACTCAGTGGTAGAGTACTTGCCTATTATACATAAGGTCCTGGGTTCAATATCCAGCACCCAGCATTCCAAAAAGAGAATACAATTTTTTGTTTTTGATACCAGGAGTGAACCCAGGGGTACTTAACCACTGAGCAACACCCTCAGCCCTTCTTTTTATTTTGAGACAGGGTCTCACTAAGTTACTCAGGGCCTCACTAAATTGCTGAGGCTGGCCTTAAACTTGTGACCCTCATGCCTCAGCTTTCGGAGTAACTGCCTGGCTATATAGTTTTATTGCTTCATCAAGGCCAACTTTTTGGGAGATTAGTATTTTTTAAATTAAATGTTACTTGTAAACTGATAATAATCCCAATGAGTAAAGAGGCAAGAAATGCCCCATTTCACTTAGAACTTGGGAGTCCTTTATGAGTACTGGTCATAAAAATATTAGTCGAGGGCTGGGATTATGGCTCAGCGGTAGATCTCTCATCTAGCACCTGGGTTCGATCCTCAGCACCACATAAAAATAAACAAAATAAAGATATAAAAAATAAAACCTTAAAAAAAAAAAAAAAAGTATTAGTCGATTCAGCTTTCCTGGGCCTGAATGTAGTTCCCTAAGCAAAGTCATGTTCTGGCAGAACTGGGACCTGTGTCCCAGTCTTCTGGTTCTTTCCATGTGTTCGGTGATCATAAGGACAAAGAAACCTTCTTCTGAATTAAGCACTTCATGAAGACATATGTTTTATCCTTTGGCTTCACAGACTTAACCGTTAAAGTCAGGCCTAAAGGATTTCTGCTCCTTGGTGCCCTGGGCCAACTGCCAGCCAGTTTCTGAGCTCCTCAGTTCCTCAACTGTGCCTCCACATGCTGTCAGCACACACTGCTCCTGTGGACTGGAATCATCTCTATCTCTTCTTCATCTGCTGATAAACTTTTCACCCTTTTAGAGGGCCTATGGTCACCTCTAGGAGGGTGCCCAGAAGTCACAGCTGGGCTGCCCTAGAGCCATTATAGTTTTCTATTCGCCTCTTGGGCCCTGATTCCTAACTAAAGAGGGCTCTTAACAAACTTCTCTTAATGACAAAGCAAAATAGCCCCAGGGCAGTAGAGCCAGCAGAAGTGACAGGGAAGAGATGGGAGGAAGGTGTCAGGATAGGGAGTGAGTACAGAGAGCTCAAAGGGAAGTAGTTCCTCAGGCTCCTTCCCCTCAGCTCCTTCTTTCCCAAGTGCTAAGCTATCACTACTTGAAGCAAAAAAGGAAAAAATTTGCCAAGCTTTATTTAGTTTGTAATTGTTACAGATAACATATCTAACCCTATATCCCACCCCACCCTATACAGTCCCCTGGGCAGGCTAGCCACCCTTTCCCTCAGTCTCACTTCTTATCCTCCTCCTTCTTGTCTTTCTTGCCATCCTTGGTGGCCTGGGAGGCCAAAGAGCCCATGGCATTTCGAATGGCTTCATTATTAGGATCCACACCTGGAAGGTTCTCTAGGACACTCTGAAGGAACTCAGGGTCCTGCATCACGTCATAATCATCCTCCTCCTGAAAAAAAGGCAGTGTTAGCTCATGCAGTGTGTGGGCTAACAGGGAGCAAGCAGGTATAAGGGACAGGAGCACACAGCTGCTTCAGGCGTGCTCTTCTCTTGACTAGGGGCAGGGGCTAAGGAGTACCTCTAGCTAAGGGAAGGAAGGAGACTCAGTAAGATACAACGCCCCAGATGTCACGTACTCTGCCATGTCCTTCCCAACCCCGTGGTGTGCAGGTGGAACCCACAGGCTCCTGCATGCTAGGCTAGGTAAAGAGAGCCACATCACCAGTCCTCCTCTAGATGGTATGAATTCAAACTTGTTACTGACAAAAAACAGGAGAAGCTTGAGAACTTTGCTAATTGTAATCAGGAGGTAAAAACACTCATCACATGCAGGTTCCCTGTTATAAGACGCCCAGAACTCCTTTTTCTTTTCTTTTTCTTTTTCCACTCTGGGAGGGGGTGATATCCTATAGAACTGGGATTCCATAGGATAGTTAAAAATTTCCCATCAGCAAGGAATTTGAGAACAGTTGGACATTTCTCCAACCTAGACGAATAGCATTCTGTTGCCTTAAGCAAGGTTTACAAACAAGAAATCCATATCCACCAGTGTGATGGCACACGCCTATAATCTCAGCAGCTTGGGAGGCTGAAGCAGGAGGATCGTGAGTTCAAAGCCAGCCTCAGGAACTGTGAGCTGCTAAGCAATTCAGTGAGACCCTGTCTATAAATAAAATTCAAAATAGGACTGGAGATGGTTGAGTCCCCCTGAGTTCATTCAATCCCCGGTAACAAAGGGAAAAAGAAAATCCATATCCATGTGTTTCCTTCTGCTCTTCAAAGGACTCATTTATGAAATCCTGAGGGAAGAATGGCCTTGGGCCAAGAGAGCTGAAGATCTGACTGCAAGGGGAATTTATTCCTGATGGAGGCAGGAGGTATGGCTGCCCTCACCTTGGCTGGCTCAGATGTATCCATGGCTGAGTTGGCATCGAGGTCAGCTGATTCTGCCTGGCCAAACTCTGAGAAAAGGAAGGCAGTCTGATCAGTTCCATTTCCCCATCCCACCCACTGCCCGTGCTCTATCACCCTGCCCTGGCCTACCTGCTCCCTGCAGGGACATCTGCATGGCATAAGCAATCTGCTCTTCCTCAGTCATACTGCTTAGATCAGGGAGTCCTGTGCGGCCAAATTCCTGCTGACTGATAGTCATCTTCAGCAGAGCATCATCTGAGTCTGGGAAAAGGAAGAAAAGGTTGGGATGGAACTAGTGTCAGTTCCACACAGCCCACATCAGCCATTCCATCAGCACATTCCTTTCACAGATTCCCCTCCCTCCCAGACACTCTCCTGCAGTCAGGCTTCAGATTCCACCTCGCTCACCTTCGGTCCCAGCCGCAGCAATCCCAGCCTCAGCAGCAGAGGCTGCTGCTGCCCGCCGTGCCTCTTCCTCCTGCCTTTGCCGCTGCTCTTCCATGGAAACACGAAGAGCCTGCCAATGGGAAAGGAACGATCAGATGTCCGCAGCCTCGTTTAAAGTCAGCCGAGGATGCAGGAAAGGAGCCTAAATAGCAGCTAAAAGAGCAGCTTGCGGTTTGTCTTATGGGAAAGAGCCGGAGAGGTAAGAACTGGTATGGGGGAAAAGGAAGGACCTGGGGAAAGCATGGGGTTTAATTAGGAGACTGAATGAGATGGAATCTGATGTTGGTGTCCTACAGATAAGACAGAGTTATAGGAAAGAGAGAATAAAAAGGGGGTCTTGGAAAACAAGGGTTATGGGAATGCTTAGGACTGCTAAGCCCTATTATATAAATCAGTAAAGGAGAATAAAGGAAAAACCCCAGGGCTATATTTTGGGTCAACATTTACTTACCAGGGCCAGCTCAGGATCAGCACTGGGATCCACTCCAAATTCAAAGTCACTGGCACCAAGACCCAGCATGGCACCACCTTCACCAGCCAGAATCGGAGAACTGATGAGAGCATCAGCCAAGCTGGGCCCAGGAGGCACTGTCACCAGATGAGAACCAGTTCCATCTTTGCCATTCAATGTGTTTACAAAGGCCGTCAGCTTTTCTGTGTTCACCTCCTGTAGGAAAACATGTGACATTCTCCTTCACACCTTGCTCCTCCTCCTCTGTCACCACATCAATTGTCCATAGCTCCCCTCCCATTCTGGGCCGTTCTCTGGGTAAAATTTGGCCTGAACATAACCAAATCAAGTCAATGCCCCCCCTAGTTCCAGCTCACCTCTTCCCCAAAATTGATAATGTCAACATTCACTTTCTCTTTCTTGAGGCGTTTAGCCAGTTTAACCAACTAGGAAGAAAGGGAGAAAAATCAAGAAATCAATTTCTTTTGAGAGGAAAAAGACTTGCCTCATAGAAGTACACAAAAATCCACTGACTTCCCCAAGGCCCCCCAACAGAAACAGAATCCTGCATATTTACCTTCCCCCAAACCATAAGCTCAGTGCCTCTGCACTGAGCACTAAAAGACCTCATTCCCAAACAGGCTGCCCAAATGCACTATCTCTAGGACTCACATCCTTCTCATTATCTTCTACGGGGCTCCCCACAAAAGCAATGATCCGCATCTTGTGATTCTTGCCCTGTCGGTGCTTCAGAGCCAGCTAGCAAAGGAAGAGAAAGTCCTTAGGGTCAACCAACGAAACTCCCTCGCTCTTCCCTCTATTCTTTTTCTTCTTCACAGTTCCTATGTACTTCATATCTATCATTGTGCTCACACAAGATCTAACCTCTCCCATCTTGCTGTGCATTTCTGTGGATAAAGAAGAGGAAGGGGAATGAATTCTCAATTCAAGGGATCGTTCCCTTCATAATGTTCATTGATCCTGGGATTCATCCCACCATATCCTTTCCCTCCCCCCTTACTCTGGCGATTGTTCAAGATTCCAGAGAAGGTCTGGGATTGTAGCTCAGTGGCAGAGCACTTGCCTAGAACACTGGGTTCAGTTCTCAGCATCACGCAAAAATAAATAAAGGTATCGTGCCCATCTACAACTAAAAAAAAAAGAAGATTCCAGAGGGGAAATGAGTGATGTTTAAGGCAAAACCCAAGCAGGAAGGGAAAACCAAAGGGACCCAGTAGGACTCACATGGGCTACGCGGATGCCAGTGCAGAAGGTGATCTTGCCCTTGGGTTGAACGGTGTGGAGCTTGGAGAGGATGCGGCCGGTGTCAGGGGTGAGTGTGGTCAGCACTTCACAGTCACTGGATGTGGGGAAGAGCATCTTAGTGAGTTCAGGTAAGCACAAGGAGATCCTAACTTGTTTGTAACTCATCTTTTCTTTAAAAACCTCGATAATAACTACAATCTCTTTCCGAATCAAACTAATATTTAATAGACACCAAGCACAAAAACACACGGGTTGGTTTGAAAGAATCTGCCCTTTGTCTCCCAATGTTTTACCCTAACTCTTCTCATCCTATTTTGCTCTCAGGGCCTTGAAAATCTGCCACAAAAATTACATGCTACTTTGTATCTTACCACCCTCTCCATTTCTAGACTCACTTTTCAGCTAAGAGTATGTATATTGAAATGGAAAGTTATTCATTTGATAATTACCAGTCCTGAAACAAGTCATTTTTGGGATAACAGAATGTGTGATGATGTATGCCCAGGAGCTCTGATCACCAAATAATTTTTTATTTATTTTATTTTTCCCCCCTCTTTTTTGAAGCGCTGGAGATTGAACCCAGGGCCTCACAAATGCTAGGCAAATGCTCTACCACTAAGCAATACCCCCAGCCTGACTTTATATCAAATAATTTAAATATCAAAAAGGAGTTACTACTGGCATTTATACTGAATAGTGAAGAACACAGTTGAAGAAGGTAATGGGCAAAAGTAGCCTAAGGGAATCCATGAAAGGGCAGTCATCTCAGATATGACATGCAACATTGTAACATGGGAAGAAAAGCCACCCATCTACCAAGTCCCTCCTCCTGTCTCACATACTTGGCCAGTGTGATGAGGCCCACGTTGTTCTCAGGGTTGCTTCGGGTCTTTGAGTGACATACTATGTTGACAGCATCCTGTTGGGCCTGTAGCCGGGTGGGTAAGAAGTCTCCATTACGCATATACTCACTGTTGTCCACACTGTCAGATTGGGGTGAAGGAGGAGAAAGAAGTATTTTAGGATCTTTCTGAAACATTCTCTTCAGTTCTGGGGCTCCCTTCAGCATCTTTCATGTGAGATACACTGTGTTATGGCAGTGGATCTCAGCCTTGGTGGAATAGAAAATTAACTGTAAATTTTTTTTTTAAATATAGTATATATATGACCAAGTCTTATCATAGACTGACTGACTCAGAATGACCAGAGGAGGAAAATTTTTTTAACATTCCACAATTCTGATGAGCATCAAAGGCTTATGTACCAGTGTTATTAAGCTTTGTCATAGGTGATTTAAAATCTATCATAAAGGGTGTACTCAAAATATAGGAAATGAAGAAAACTTTTAATCCAGCCTTCCACCAGCAGCCAGGAACTATCCCATGTCCTTGGTCACCAGCACATACAGCTCCAGCTGAATGACAGCTAGTTGAAAACCTCTTTGGGTTCATTTTTGCTGTTTTGTTTCTTTGTTTTTTTAAATAATGATATTCAGAAAAGTCTGAGGTTCAAAATGTGTTATTTTGAAATTTGTTCATTAAGCTTTTAAAATCTGGGTGCAGTGGCACACACCTATAATCCCAGCGGCTTGGGAGACTGGGGGGCAGGAGAATCAAGAGTTCAAAGCCAGGGGCTGGGGATATAGCTCAGTTGGTAAAGTGCTTGCCTCGCGTGCACAAGGCCCTGGGTTCAAACCCCAGCACCACAAAAAGAAAAAAGAAAAAAAAAAAGAGTTCAAAGCCAGCCTCAGCAATGGGAAGGGGCTAAGCAACTCAGTGAGATCCTGTCTCTAAATAGGGCTGGGGATGTGGATCAGTGGTTGAGTGCCCCTGGTACAATCTCCAGTACCAACCAACCAAATAAAACATGAAGAGCAATCTTTTTTTTTTTTTTTTTTAAGTTGCCAATGGACCTTTATTTTATTTATCTACATGTGGTGCTGAGAATCAAACTCTGTGCTTCACACATGCTAGGCAAGCGCTCTACAACTGAGCCACAATCCCAGCCCTACAGTAGGATGTTTTAATGGCCTGGGAACTATGTTCATTCCTGACCTAGCTTCACTACATATTCAAAGAGGAGTGTGGTGAAGAATCCTGGGAGATCCAGAAGGCTAAGGATTATTATCCAGACTGGGGTTTTTGGTAGAACAGTCTTTTATTGCAATATGCTAATCCCATCTACAAAGAAAGAATATAAAAGTTACATTGAAAACTTGAGTTTTCTCAGGGAAAAAAAATAGCATCCTGTCTCTCCCCCCTTTTTTTTTTGTACTAGGGATATAACCCAGGGGGCAATTCACCACTAAGCTACATCCCTGGCACCCCCGCCTCCCCTTTTAAAAATAACTTTATGTAGTGCTGAAGATCAAACCCCATGCCTCACATGTGCTAGGCAAGCACTCTATCTCTGAACCACAATTCCAGCAACTGGCCCTTTTATGTATGTATGCATGGATGTATGTATGTTTTGAGAAAATTTCACCAAGTTGTTTAGGGCCTTGCTAAACTGCTGAGGCTGGCCTTGAACTTGTGATCCTTCTGTCTCAGCCTCCTGAGCTGCTGGAATTATAGGCTTGCACCACCGTGCATAGCTCTCTTGCTTTTTACTTTCACATGGATATCAAAGCAGTAGGCTGGGAGCTAGCTGTAGAGCACAGCTAAGACTTCTCACCAAGGTAATGTGCCAGTTGTCTGTAGCAGTGCAATTTCTCTTAGAAGCAGAAACGCTTTGTATGAGCACCTCCAAATCTCAGTGATAAGTTCCAGAACTACCCATTTCCATTTTTATGTAATTTATGAAGAAAGATTGGAGCCATGTTGACTCTTTCACAGCCATTGGAGCTGACTGACCCTTCATTGTGTCACTCTTCCCCAGAGTGAATTAAGTAGAACACAGAGGTTTGATTGTCTAGCTGTCCAGTTTTTATGCCATCATTGTCTTAGATCATTTAAGAATATAACTTCCCTTTAGTTTGTTGGAGGATATAAATTATTCTCAGGAAGAACATAATAAACTCTATAGTTACTCTGACCTATTAAAAAGGTGTTACCAGGAAAAAAAAATTAAAGTACTTACAAATTAGCATATACTAGGCACAATGTAATCATTGTGGTTAAATGTTTAATAGCTTTGGAAGTTGGACTGAACGGCAAAAATTAGGTTTCATTGATTTTGGATCTCAACACTTCTATTGCTATAATTTTTTTTTTAGTTGTAGAAGAACATACAGTTATCTTTATTTATTTTTATGTGGTGCTGAGGATCAAACCCAGTGCCTCAGACATGCGAGGCAGGCACTTTACCACTGAGCCCCAGTCCTATCCCTATGAATTTTGACAATCTAAAAGAATTCAGTCTGGTATGCTGGTGCCCACCTATAACACTAGCTACTCAAGTGGCTGAGGCAGGAGGATCACAAATTCAAAGCCAGCCCTGGCAACTTAGCAAGACCCTGTCTCAAAATAAAAAAGGGCTGGGGATGTAGTTCCATGATAAAGTGCACCTGGGTTCAATCCCCAATACTGCAAAATAGAAATAATAAATTTCTTTAAAAAAGAGGAAAGAGAGGGCTGGGGATGTGGCTCAGCAGTAGAGCACACGCCTAGCACAGACAAGGCCCTGGGTTCCATTCTCAGCACCACACAAAAAAAATTAATTAAAGATAATTAATCCAACTACAATTAAAAAATAAATATTAAAAAGAGGAAATAATCCAGATAATACAAAACACAAGTTCCAGTTTTCCAGCGATCAAAAGCAGTTAAATGAGGTTGTTACTTAAGTCCCTGTAGATGATGAATTCTTTTTTTTTTTTTTTTATGTTTTTAGTCATTGATGGACCTTTATTTTAATTTATTTATTTGTATGTGGTGCTGAGAATTGAACCCAGGGCCTCACACATGCCAGGCAAACACTCTACCGCTTAGCTACAACCTCAGTCCCGATGATGAATTCTTTTTTTTTTTTTTTAATTGGTTGTTCAAAACATTACAAAGCCCTTGACATATCATATTTCATACATTAGATTCAAGTGGGTTATGAACTCCCGTTTTTACCCCGTATACAGATTGCAGTATCACATCGGTTACACATCCACGTTTTTATATATTGCCATACTAGTGACTGTTGTATTCTGCTACCTTTCCTATCCTCTACTATCCCCCCTCCCCTCCCCTCCCCTCCCAACGATGATGAATTCTTGATGACCCCTTAGGTCCCTGTAAGCGAGCTCCAACAGTGGATGATTCTATCTGTGCTAATGGAAGAAAGCAGTGCCCTAGATGATATACTTCATTTCTATTGGCAAGAAAAATACTGGTTTAGGGGCAATTTTTTTTTTCTTTAGAATACACTGTCTAGTAATAAACACACACCAAAAATGGTAAAGAGAGATAATTAAGAAGTTACTGGAAAATAAGCATAGAAAAGAATGTAGGATAGTGTTCAGGCCCAGGTTCAAATTCCCACTCTACTTCTTAGGATCATAATTGTATAATCCTAAGAAAGTTACTTAATTTCTCTGAGATTATTACATCACCTGTAAAATGGATTTTATTGTACCCAATCCTGTGGGATTGCTATATGGGTTAAATACACAGAAAGTACTTAGCAAAGTGCCTGATACTTAGAAGCATAAAACAAAAACTAATCCAGAGTAGGAACTCAACCACACACCTCTAAACAAACTATGTAAAGAAGCTCAAGGTCTAACTTTACTGACCATACCTTATATTTTCCCCCTGATAAATTGTTTCTGATTATTCTCCCAGCAGGGAAGTAACTGCCTCTCAAACTCTTACAATAAAAGTGCCAAGTCCAAACATAAAACACAATGGAGGCCTTGAGTATAGTCCAGATGGAATAGCTACTAAGATTAAGGATTGTGGGCAAGACCAGCAGGTGGATAAGGCTGGGGAGAAAATGGTGACAGGAGAGACCATGAGAACTGACTCTGGAGAACAACGCAGCAGTTTTCATACTTTGCCAGAACCAGTAGAGGGAAGGCTATTGGAGGCAAAAACAGATGCCTTACCACCCATATATGCATTCCTAAGAAACATATTGTTTAGTTTTCTCAATCTTAAACTTGATATGTAAGGAACACTTTTTTTTTTTTTTTTGAGACAAGGTTTTGCTTAGTTGCCAGGTTGGTCTCCTGCCATTCTCCTGACTCAGCCTCCCAAGTTACTGGGATTATAGGTGTGTGCTGCCCACCATGCCTATCCCTAGGCCTTTTACTTTGAAACAGGGTTTTACTAAGTTGCCTCTGCTAGTCTCAAACTAGCAGATCCTAGATCTCAAACTAGTGATCCTCCTGCCTTAGCTTCAAGAGTTGCTGGGATTACAGGCAAAACAATATTCTTTCTTTTCTTTTTTTTTTTTTTGAGGGGGATTGGGGTGGGCGGGAAGGATTAGGAATTGAACACAGGATTGCTTAACCACCGAACACTTTTATTATATTTTAAGGCAGGATCTCACTAAGTCCTTACAGCCTCACTAAGTTGCTGAGGCTGGTCTCAAATCTGCATCCTCATGCCTCTGCCTCCCAAACTGCTGGGATTACAGGCACATGCCACCACACCCGGCATAGAACAATATTCTTAAATGCCATTTTGTATACAGGTCTGCTCCCATGACCCTTAGAACTTTCCTTCTTTCTTTCTTAAGAATTTAACTTTGGGCTGGGGATGTGGCTCAAGCAGTAGCGAGCGCGCTCGCCTGGCATGCGTGCGGCCCGGGTTCGATCCTCAGCACCACATACAAAGAAAGATGTTGTGTCCGCCAAAAACTAAAAATAAATATTAAAAAATTCTCTCTCTCTCCTCTCTCTCTCTACCTTTAAAAAAAAAAAAAAAGAATTTAACTTTTATTTCTATGTGGTGCTGAGGATTGAACCCAGTGCCTCATCCCTGCTAGGCAAATGCTCTACCACTGAGCTACAACCCCAGCCCCAGTCCTTTGTTTTTTCTTTCTTTTTTTTTAGTTGTAGATGGACGCAATACCTTTATTTAATTAATTTAAATAATTAATTAAATAAAGGTGGTGCTGAGGATCAAACCCAGTGCCTTGCATTTGCTAGGCAAGTGCTCTACCACTGAGCCCCAACTCAAGCCCCAGAACTTTCTTAATAGTCCTCAATGGAAGGGTACAAGACAAAGTTCAATCACCTCAATTTAGCCAGGCACAGTGGTGCATACCTGTAATCCTAGCACTAGGGAGGTTGAGGTAGGAGGATCCCAGCTAAATGAAGCCCTAAGCAACTTAGTGAGACCCTGTCTCTAAATAAGAATTAAAAATGGATGGGAGCCAGGCAGGCACAGTGGCACATGCCTATAATCCCAGCAGTTCAGGAGGCTGAGGCAGAAGGATTGCGAGTTCAAAGCCAGCCTCAGCAAAAGCAAGGTGCTTAGCAACTCAGTGAGATCCTGTCTCTAAATGAAATAGAAAGTAGGGCTGGATTGTGGTGCAGTGGTTGACTGCCCCTGAGTTCAATCCCCAGTAGGCCCCCCCCACCAATAAAAAGAAAAAAAAGTAGACTGCGGATGTGGCTCAGCGGGTTCAATCCCCAGTACTTAAAAAGTTTTTTTAATAAATAAAAATCTCCTCAGCTTGATGTTCACAGTATTCTACTTGATTCCATCTACCTTTAAAAAAGAAAAAGAAACAAGTACAGTGTATGTCTGTAATTACAACACTCCAAGAGGCTGAGACAGGAGGATTACAAGTTTGAGTCCCTCCTCAGCAATTTAGTGAGGCCATAAGAAACTTAATGAAACACCACCTCAAAAATAAATAAGATTCTGAGCAGATCCTAGTGCCAAGCACGGCCAGCTGGGCAGGCGGCAGCCTGAGCTCCAGGGTAGCCTGCTCCCTTCCTGTCTCTCCTTCCACTGCGGTCAGCATGAAAAGCCTTCAGTCAGTCTGGTGAGGTGCATTAGGAAAAACAGTCTGTCAGACCACAGCCTGGGCATCTCCTGGAACAGACCCTGTTGGATGACCCGATGAGCCTGCTGTACAACACAAACAACTGTTACTCCAAGCTCAAGGAGCTGGGCCAAGCATCTCCCAAAACAAGAAGGTGAGCAAGATGGAAATCCTGCAGCACACCATAGACTGCATCTTGGACCTGCAGATCGCCCAGAACTCACACCCCAGTATTGTTAGCCTGCGCCACTAGAGACCAGGACAGAACCAGGTGTCCAGGACACCGCTGACCACCCTAAACATGGACATCAGAATCCCATCCTTGCAGACTTCTGAATTCCCTTCTGAGTTAATGTCAAATGACAGCAAAGCACTCTGTGGCTGAATAAATGATGTTCATGACTTTTTTTTTTCCTTTTTATTTTTTTCTTTCTTTCTTTTTGCACAACACCAACAACAAATCCACAGGATCTTTTAAGGCGTTGAACTTATTTTTCAACCATTTCACCAGGACAAATTGAACAGACCTTTTTAAAAAGAAAAACAAATGGAAGGAAAACTAAGAACGACCATCTTCCCACGGTGTTCTCTGTCCTGGACTGTGATATTTGTTATCTATGAAAAAGACTTTTAAATGCCCTTTCTGCAGTTGGAAGGTTTTCTTTATATACTATTCCCACCATGGGGAGCGAAAACATTCTAATTACAAGGAATTGCCCAATCGAAGCAGACTTTGCTTTTTTTGTTTTTTTTTTTTTTTAATGTTGATGAACCTTTATTTTATTCATTTATTTCTATGTGGTGAACCCAGTGCCTCACACATTCTAGGCAAGTGGTCTACCACTGGGCCACAACTGCAGCCTCCAGACTTTGCCTTTTTTCAAAATCCAGAAGGATTCAGTATTCACTTACTTAAATGAAATCTTTTGGTCAGAAATTACCTTTTTGACTCAAGCCTACTAAATGCTGTGTGTATATGTATATATACAGAGAGAGAGAGAGAGAGAGAGCGCGCATGAGCCCCCCCTTGTGAACTCCTTTAATTAAAGAGTTTTCTTGTATAGTGGCAGAGATGTATATTTCTGCATAAAGTGTAATGATATACTTATTCATGCTAAGTTTTTATAATAGTTGTAAACTTTACCTTTTTATACAAAATAAATCAAGTGTGTTTACTGAAAAAAATATATAATTAAATTAAAAAATAAAGGGCTGTGGATGCAGTGCAGGGATTGAACCCAGGGACGTTTAACCACTGAATCACATCCCCAGTCCTTTTTATTTTATATTTTGAGACAAGGTCTAAGTTGCTTAGAGCCTCACTAAGTTGCTGAGCCTGCTGATTCCCAATCCTCCTACCTCAGCCTCCTGAGCTGCTGGGATTACAGTCTTGTGCCACCACTCCATACAAATAGACATCTTTTATACTAAAAATTACTTACTGTTTGTCTGAAATTCAATTTTGGGGAATAATGGAAATTGAACCCAAGGATACTCCACCACTGAGCTGCATCTCCAGTTTTTAAAATTTATTTTAAGACAGGGTCTAGGTAAATTGCTGAGCTGGTTTTTAACTTGGAATCCTCCTGCCTGGGCCTCCTGAGTTGCTAGGATTACAGGCTTGTGCTACCATGCCTGGTTCTGAAATTCAAATTTAACTGAGTATGCTGTAGCACAATTTTCCACCAGAGAAAAGGAGAAATCTCATAGGTATCTGTTCCTCCTAACTGGAGACCTGTGTACATTTGTGTAACTGTTCTTTATTATATTCTAGGTTCATACTTAGAAGGAACATTCTTGCTTTTTTTGTGGTGCTGGGGATCCAACCCAGGACCTCACACAAGCGAGGCAAGACCTCTGCCACTGAACCATATCCCCAGCCCTAAAAAAGAACTTGAAACCCTGCAAAAGTTTGTTGTCAGCTTCTAATCTGCTTCAGTCCATGCCTGAGACTGATGAAGAGTCTCACTGGATTTAAAAAAAAAAAAAAAAGCTTTATGTAGTCCTGAGTCTGATATCTTGGCGCCACCGCTTAACTAGCTGTGTGACTTAGAATCGCTGAGCCTCATCTGTAACATGGAGAAATATTTCCTCTGAAGTGTTGCTGGGAGGTTTAAGTGAAATGAAGTAATATACCTGCCACGTAGGAAACAATCTGCAAGTGTAACTTTAAAGACGACACAGGCCAACGAATGGGACATCTAATAACAATAATCACCAACATCTTTACCACCATCCTCTCTCTTCCTAATATCCATTACTTTGAGGAAAGGAGGGCAAAGTCGGAGAAGCAGCCTGAGACAGTTCTGGGCTGGTAAGGAGCAGATGATGCTGAAACAAAGCGAGACAGCCAGGATCCCCGGCTCGGAGCTAGAGGGCATACCCGGGCCTGCCGCTCTGGGGCCCTGGGATGACTCAGGGAGTCGACCCGGCTCCTCCTCTCTAGACCCCAAGGCCGCGTCTTGACCTACAAGCCCCGCGGCCCCACCCGGGGCCCAGCCGGCCTGGACGCTGCGCGCACCCCCGACCCAGTCACGCCCCCACGGGCCCCAAGGTAGTTCCTCACCAAACCATAGTGCTCTCCAACACCATCTTGCCACCTTCCTCCCTCCCGGCCGGTCTACGGACTGCCTTGCAACAGCTCCTCTGATTGGCCCTCTGGTAACCACCAATCACACGCCTGGACTCCACGCACTGGTCCCGCCCCCATTCGCCGCGTTGAGTCCTGGGAGTTGTAGGCGGTGCTACGTGAAGGGACGCCTGGGGTGGTGGCGTGGAGATGGTTACCCAGGTAACAGAAGCGCTTCCCCGATGCCTTCCCTGCCGCGCTAGCTTTCAGGTGGGTTTCCCCTCTGGCCGAGCTCCGAGAAACTGTGGAGGAACATTGGAAGTGGTAGGAATGTCAGTTCCAGCGTCATCTCCCCCACCTTTTTCTTTTTCCGGTACCGAGGATCGGACTGGGCACGCACTAGTGAATTACACTCCCAGCCACCCACCACCCACCTTTGCGTTTTTGTGTTTTTAAAATTTTATTTTGAAACAGGGTCTTGCTAAATTGCCCAGGCTAGCCTTGAACTTTGAATCCTCCTACCCTCAACCTACCGGACTACCTGGAAGGACAGGACTACACCACCGCGCAGGCGCAGCAATGTCTTTCTTATTTATTAATTTACTTGTTTGTTTGTTTATTTTACTGGGAGTTGAATCCGGGGGCGTTCTACTACTGAGCTACACTCCTATCCCCGCCCACCTTTTTGGGGGTATGGGGTGGACAGAGGCTCACTAAATTGCCCAGGCTCCTCCGGAATTTGCGCTTCTCCTGCCTCAGTCTCTAGAGTCACTGAAATCACTGGTGTTTGCTACCACGCCCAGCAGCGTTGTCATTTTTAAAGAGGGGCGGATCTCCAGGCTGAGCCAGTCTCAGCAATTTGGCTAGACCTTGTCGCAAAATTTAGAAAAGGTTTTGGAGATGTGGCTCAGTGGTTAAAAAAAAAAAAAAAAGTGGCGCGGGAGCTGTAAGGACCTTTTAGCTACCACATCTGGTCCCCATAGCACTTCATCCATCTACTATAAACCCTTATACCCCTGAATTGAATTTGTTTACATATCTGTTTTCCCCATATAACTAAGGGGAGGAAAGGTTTCTAAATCATTGCAGTTCTTTTTTTTTTAATTTTTTTATTAGTTGCTCAAAACATTACAATGATCTTGACATATCATACATTTGATTCAAATGGGGTACATAATCTTATTTTTCCACGTGTACAGATTGCAGGATCACTTTGGTTATACAGCCACGTTTATACATAGGGCGATACTAGTGTCTATTGTATTGTGCTACCAATCATTGCAGTTCTTGAGCCCATTAGTAAACCTGACACACGGTAGGAGTTTAGAAAAGGTTTGACCAAACAATAATTTAATCTTCCAAAGATTGGGAGACAAACTAATACGATTTGGGTTAATAAGAATATTCGAAGTCTGATGCAGTGGAGCATGCCTATAATCCTAACGACTCCTCAGGTTGAGGTAGTAAGATCTCCACATCCAAAAGCCAGCATAGGCTACTTAGGAAGACCCTGTCTCAAAATAAAAAATAAAAAGGGGACTAAGTGGTAAAGTGTCCCTGCATTCAATCCCCAGTACCAAAAATAAATAATATTCAAAAATGCTTTGTTCAAGAATTATAGGTAACCATTGCAAGTTACATACGAGTAAAATTTTCATATCTCTAAAGGAAAAAAGGGGAGGGGGGCTAGGGTTGCAGCTCAGTAGTTAAGTGCCCCTGGATTTAATCCCTGGTACCAAAAAAAAAAAAAAAAAAAAAAAAAGCATATGCAAAATTAGTGAGTAGAAGGTGCTGAGGATTGAACCCAGAGCCTTGTGCATGCTTAGTACCCTTTCTACCACTGAGCTGTACCCCAGACCCCCAAATGCTTTTTTAAAAAACATGAAAATTATGTAAAGAATAAAAGCAAGGGCTGGGGATGTGGCTCAAGCGGTAGCGCGCTCGCCTGGCATGCATGCGGCCCGGGTTCGATCCTCAGCACCACATACAAACAAAGATGTTGTGTCTGCTGAAAACTAAAAAAGAAAAAATAAATATTTAAAAAAAAAAAAAAAAAAAGCAAAAGCCTGCCAGACACGGTAGTTCATTCCTGTAATCCCAGTGGCTTGGGAGGCTGAGGCAGGAGGATAGCAAGTTCAAAGTCAACCTCAACAACTTAGGGAGGCCCTGAGCAACTTAGGGAGAGCCTATCTCAAAATAATAAAAAATAAAAGGGCTGGGGATGTGGGACAGTGTTTAAGCCTCCTTGGGTTTAATCCCTAATACCAAAAAAAAAAAAAAATGTGAACAAAAACCACACAAGCCACATAATGTAAATACAACTAAGTGACCATAAAAATTGAAAATAAAGATTAAAAAAATCTGCTAATAATAATAAAATTTTAGAAAGCATGTATAGCTGTATTACTATTTTACAATAAGGCTGGGAATGTAGTGCAGTGGTAGAGCACTTGTCTAGCATGTTCAAGGCTATGAGTTGAATCCCTAGCACAGCATAAACTAAAATTTAAAAAATCTAGGGAAGCCAGGCTCAGTGGTGCAAGTCTATAGTTCCAGCAGGAAGGCTGAGGTGGGAAGACCACTTAAATCCAGAAGTTTGAGACCAAGTAGGCAACATAAGGAGAACACTCTCAAAAACAAAACAACAGGGCTGGGGATATAGCTCAGTTGGTAGAGTGCTTGCCTTGTACAAGGCCCTGGGTTCAATCCCTAGCACCAAAAAAAAAAAAAAAAAAAAAAACCTTTCAAAAACAAAACAACAAATGAACATATTCCCTAGGAAATGAATGTAGGTTAAGAAGGGAAGACTGAACCCTGGGATACTTTGATATTTAGATGAGTGAGGGAGCAACCCTTGATAAAAACAACCAGGAGAAAGTAGTATCCCAGAAGCCTAGTGAAGAAAATGTTTCAGAGAGGAAGTAAACTCAGCTGCTGTTGACATCAAGAAAGATGAAGACTGATATATTTAGCAAAATGAGAGGGCATTAATGACCTTAACAAGAGACACTGTGGGTAGGAGAAAAACCTTGGGAGTTCAAGAGAAATTTGTGGGGCCAAAAAAAAAAAAAATCCAAAACAAACAAACAATTTGTAGGCACAGTGGTGCACACCTGCAGTTTCAGCAACTCAGGAGACTGATTCCCAAGTTCAGAGCCAGCCAAACCAATTTAGAAAGACCCTGTCCTAAAAAAAAAAAAAAAAAAAAAATGGATTGGAGAAGCACCCCAGGGTTCAATGTCTAGTACTAAAGAAAAACAAAAAGAAACAGAAAATTATTTGTAAAAATTCATTTGTTGGGGCTGGGGATGTGGCTCAAGAGGTAGCGCAACAAAGATGTTGTGTCCGCCGAAAACTAAAAAAAAAAATAAATAAATATCAAAAAACTCTCTTTCTCTCTTAAAAAAAAAATGTAGCCAGGCATGGTGTAACATACCTGTAATTCCAGCGATTTGGGAGGCTGAGGCAGAAGGATTACAAATTCAAGGCCAGCCTCAGCTGGCCTCAGAGAGGCCCTAAGCAACTTAGTGAGACCCTGTCTCAAAATACAAAATAAAAAGTCTCCTCTGAGTGGCTGGGGTTGTGGCTCAGCGGTAGAGCGCTCGCCTAGCACATGCGAGGCCCTGGGTTCAATCCTCAGCACCACATAAAAATAAATAAAACAAAGATATTGTGTGTCCAACTACAACTAAAAAATAAGTATTAAAAAAAAAAAGTCTCCTCTGGGTTCAATCTCTAGTCTCCCCCTGCCCCTGCTGCCCAAGTAAAATAATTTGTAAAACAATTGAGTAACTTTGAAAAGTGATTGGATATTTGATATTAAGGAATTAAATTATTTTTTGAAATAATATTTTTTATTTTTATTTTTATTTTTTTAGAGAGAGAGAGAGAAAGAGAAGTTTTTTTTTGTTGTTTTTTAATATTCATTTTTTTTTTTTTTTTTTTAGTTTTCGATGGACACAACATCTTTGTTTGTATGTGGTGCTGAGGATCCAACCTGGGCTGAACGCATGCCAGGGGAGCGCGCTACCGCTTGAGCCACATCTCCAGCCCAAAATAATATTTTTTAAAAAGTCCTTATCAGGACTGGGTTTATCTCAGTGGTAGAGCACTTACTTACCTAGCATGCACAAGGCCATTATATCCCCAGCATGCAAAAAGTAAAAAAATGTAGGTTTTAGTGGTTGGGGGTACAATTGGTGGTAAAGCACTTGTCTAGCATGTGTTGGAATATTTATGGATGAAAGGATATGATGTCTAGAACCATTTTAACCTGATCCTTTAGAAATGCAGAAAGAAAGTAGGGGGTGGAGCATAAGGTATAGATGACTGACTTCCCCCCTTCCCCCAGTACTGGGGATCAAATCCAGGGCTTCGGAAGCTAGGCAAGCACTCCACCACTGAGCTGTATCCCTAACCCCAGACTGGCATTATTTATGTTGATGATTATTGAAATTGAGTTATAATGTACATGGTGATTCACCATACTACCCTTACTTTTGGAAATTTGGGTAAAAAGGAAAAAAGAACCAGCGGCAGGAGGATCAGAGTTCAAAGCCAGCCTCAGCAACAGCGAGGCGCTAAGCAACTCAGTGAGACCCTGTCTCTAAATAAAATACAAAAAAGGGCTGGGATGTGGGTCAGTGGACAAGTGCCCCTGAGTTAAATTCCCAGTACAAAAAAAAAATGGGAAGAGGAAAGATAAATGGGAACCAGCAATCAGATCCTTATTAATGGACTTTTGAATTTCTTTTGTAGTACTGGAAAGTGAACCCAGGGGTGCTCTACCACTGAATCACATCCCCAGCCGTTTATAAATTTTAACACATTTTAAAAATACCTTTATTTATTTAATTTTATGTTGTGCTGAGGATTTAACCCAGTTCCTCACACATGCGAGGCAAGCTACATCCCCAGCCCCAATTTTTTTTAAAATTATTTAAATTTTGCAGTGCTGGGGATTGAACCCAGAGGCACACTACCACTGAGTTACATTGCTAACCCTTTTCAATTTTTGCATCAGGGTCTTGCTAGATTGCCCAAACTGGTCTGCAACTTGCGATCCTTCTACTTCAGCCTTCAGAGCAGCTGGGATTACAGATGTACATCATCGTTCTTGACTAAGCAGCAATTTTAGAAGATTTTAAATAACCAGATTTTCTTTTTTTTTTTGAGAGAGAGAATTTTTAAAGTATTTATTTTTTAGTTTTCAGCGGACACAACATCTTTGTTTATATGTGGTGCTGGGGATTGAACCCGGGCTGCACGCA